CCTTTCTTTGTGAGATGTTTTTATTTCGGTTCGTTCATTTCACTGACTGATAACAAGGACTTTTCATAATATATATATTTATTTTAGGATTCTTAATGTGTTTAAAATTAAATACCAAAATATATATTTGTCAAGTAACATAAAAATTCCGGAGCTCCATTGCTCCCTTCTGCATCTATACTTTCTCAGCATTCAATCTATACTAAAAATTCTTTTTCTCACCAAAAAATGTCCTTCGCCTCACCTTACTCCACTCCCACTCTAGGGGAACAGCACAGCCAGAGTTCATCACCCTCTGACTCTCAGGTCAGGGGTCAATCAAATGCGTGGGAGAGGAATCAGAATCCTGACAATATCAAAAATAGTATTTTTTTATACATGACCAACCATAACTGGGATTCGAACCCGGTTTACTCCATTGGAAAGCGAACGCTCTATCCCCTGAGCCACCACGACTCATCTCTATTGATTTAACGTGCATCAAACAGCATTTAATACAAGGGGATTTTTCGGCCGTTCTCACAAGCACGAGTCCAATGCCCTATTAATTAGGCTACCTCCAGCGAATGATTATAGATTCTTTTTTGTTTGTTTGCTTGAAACTAAAAGAATTAACACACGTATTAAAAGAATCAATAATCGGATAAAAAGATTTAAATTTTAAACTATGAACCAGATAACTATTGCCAGCAAGTATTATTATATCATATTACACATTTACTTGCTATTTTTGTTGACAGAGAAAGGAAAGGGTTAACCATTTCGCTCGTTTTCTTTTCTTATTTTTTTTTTTTTTTTTTTTTTTTTTTTTTTTTTTTTTTTTTTAATAACCGCTGTTGAACAGTCGACCCAATTTTACGGGTTTACGACTACTAATGCTCAACTCCGTGGTCTTGTAATTTTGAACCCAATCCAGAAGACAAGGGAACACCTGGATCGAGTATGGGGAGAAATTTACCTTCGTGGAGGACTTTTTGATGGAGCTAACCCACATTTGTGTTACATGGAAAGGAAGACCACGAGAACCTCCCACGGTTAGCCTGACGACGGCAAGGGGACTCTGCCCGTCTACCACTGAGTATATTTCACGTCAGCACTGAGGTCGTTGCAAGATCGACTGATTCGTATCGACTGGGATTCGAACCCGGTTCACCTCAATGGAAGGCGAACGCTCTATCCCCTGAGCCATCGAGGCTGAACTGAAACTTTAGACCAATTTAGAAGGGGGGAAATTATATTTAAATTTTGGTTAAATCTTTTAAAGTAAATTAACACCTGTGGCATAAATACCATACCATTCTCCATTTTTCAAGAAACTAAAGAATTCCGTCTTTTCAGAAACTTTCAACTTCACGGCTAAAAAGAAGTTTTTATCTCGACTAAGAAAGTTGACGTTTCCTCTATTACAAAAACTGGAATTTTAAATGCACGAGTTCTGGCGGAGATGGTGGATACGGTAGGACACCAACTAATCTCAAACGAGTTACGAGAACAAACAAGTTCGTATATTGTTCTGATAAAAACTTGATGTTCTTAAGATTCCCTATTTAAGGATTTTCTCCCAACTGCGGTCTTTAATAGGTCAAATGGGGAGGGGGGGGGGCAGGAGACGTTTCTGAATTGTGTCTTTTATAATACATACACATCCACAATCTGCAAATATTTTATACCGTCTGCATATATTTAACTAAGTTCTGGTATGCTAAGTATGGTATGTATATTATGGTACATCTACGAGTCAATTTTTCGTGCAACGTCGACTGAAAAATCAACAATAATTAATTATTTTTTGCAAAAATGGAAAAAATAAAACAGAATACTCTTTGTAAGGTATCTCAATCAGGACAAATGCCCCTATACATATCCTTTGTCCCCATATAATCTCGTGATATGATTTTATAAAATTAGAGTGCTAGTTAAGTTAGTTAAAACTAGTGACGATACACAACAAATAATCATATATTTTACTATTTTTTCAGTTTTACTTTTAAGTGCCTTCTCACCAAGGTTGGCAAGTTTCTGCCGAGGTGGTTAAAACCACTGATAGAAACCGGTTAAAACCGGCATGGCAAAAACCCTTTTCTGTAGCATTTGTGATAGAAATTCAGAAAATGACATAAAAGTAAGAACTGAGATTGACACATAATGGATAATTCATAGAAAAAACAATTAAATGTTAAACAAAGAACAATTTATTTACAAAATTATCACCATTCAAAATCAAATATTACATTGTTTGCACTCTGCAGTAATATAAAACAAAATACAAAATTTGATGCAGTTTCTAAACCCAAACAATTTCTCAACTTGCTATGCACGAACGAGAAATTTGAAAAGATTCTCTCAAGTCCAGCAGAACTTGCAGGCATTGCCATCCACGAAAGATTAAAACTGTTACAGTTATAATAATTGGATTGTTGCTATGCAAAGAATTTTCTTGAAAAGAAAAAAACTATTTGAAAATTGCTCTATTCAGTTATGTTAAGAGTTAAATGATAATAATTACTGAATTTCAGAATTTAATATAATGAACTAAAATCTAGTATTTATGTTTATTATTACTTTATTCTTTATTTTATATAAATATTTGATATACTGCACTCTTCATACTTAATGTAAACAAAATATATATATTTACAAACAATGAATTAAAAAGTTTGTTACAGTTGCATGGAGTTAAGTTTTTCAGTTTACTTAAACAAAATGTCATTAAGCAATTACTAGAACTAATATAGAAGTTTTTTTAGTTTCTGCCAGTTTTTGCCGGTTATAACTAGTTTCTGCCACTAACATGGCAAAAACCAGTTTCTGCCGGCAAAAGGCCAACCCTCCTTCCCACTGTTACATTAGTTTTGAAAGAACAATAATACGAACGAGACCGCAATTAGTTTTCTGTAGCTAAATTTAAAACTATAGTCCTATCATTAACAAAACACAAACACGTGATTTGACAAATCGTTTTTGTTCAAAACAAATCTTATCAACTAAAACAAATCAGCATTAAGATCTTGCAAACTCCAACCAATAAGAGATTTTAATCAGAAAGAAAATGCGAACGTGTTACGTCATAATATTTTCAGGATAGGACATGTTCAAATAATAGGAAGTAGTTGGCATAGAGCCAACATCATGCCTCCTTTAAAGTGGCATCGACCCGATGCTTTTCGTAAGGTCCCGGGGAAAACGTAACAGATTCCGCTTATCTTAAAACTAAAACCGTGACTTTTCTCTTAAGGAGAAGAAAAATTTTCGATCGAAAAGTTTACGAGAGAAGTTTATTTCTAGTGTGTTTAATATTTGATACAAAATTCGAAGTGGAGTGTTAGTTTTGCCGTTCGAAAATGTAGGTTGAAATTAAAATATTTTTCAATGTTCGTTTAAGATAAAAGATTTAATTTATTTCTAGCTAAGTCTAGGGGAACAGAGAGGCAGTCCTCTTTTTAGATGGATCGACTGTCTGAAAACCAAAAATTTGAGGACAGTCGAAAAACGGAGAGACGCCTGAAAAAGACTTCTGGGGAAGGTCAGGACCCACCCAGGGCTGTCATGCTACTGAAGAAAGAAAGATGAAATTTTGTCAAAGAACACTCTTTAGTTTAGCATTATTCGAAAATTACCTAGATGTTACCCGAAAGAAATGCAAAACTTCTGATTTTGATAGCTATTTGTTTATGATATAATAGTTATTATGGGAAAACTAATGGTCAAAAGGGCTAATGGTCTTAGCTAATGGTCAAAATAGTGACCATTAAATATTTTAAAAATGAACTTTTTTATTTTTGCTGATAAAACCTTTCTTTTTTATCAGCTGTATAATATATACACAAGAAACCTTGTGAGGAAGGTTCACAAAAAATATAAAGATAAACAAAATCATAAATCCTTGTGTAGGAATATACACACAAAGCATAAAACCTTTGTGAAAGAGGGTCCGCAAAAAAGAAAAAAAACCTTGTATGGATAGATTTATGAAAAACATAAACCCTTGCGTATGAAAGTACACAAAAAACAAACATTTGGTTCATAAAAATATTTAAATATGGTTAATTATTAATTGTAGTTAAAATTAAAAATTCCCCTTGCTCTACAGTCTGTTTAAAATAACTTCAATTTGTAAAATCTTTGATCACAAATAAAGGCAGCATTAAATGACTTTAAAAAAAATTTAAACAGGGATATTTAAAAAAGTCGATGGACAAGTTTCCATCTAAAGAGGTTAGTACCATTTGATTACGTTTTATAAAATAACGCTTATAAGCGAATAATATACTACTTTATGAGTTTGTAAAAGTTATAACAATCCCTAGTGTCATCTAAAGTGATTATAAAAATGACGCAAAAAGACAATATAATCTTGTTTTGATTTTAAAAGGCAGTAAAATTGTTTTTCTTTTTTTTTTTAAATTTTTGTTTGAGAAAAAAGAGAATTGAAAAACGCTAGTAAAGAACAGAGATTTAATATTTTATAATTTTTTTCGATATTTTTTCAATAGTTATAAAAAAAAATGAATCTACTTTAATTTAGCATTGCTATAAAGTCAAACAGATGTTACTTAAGGTTTTGTTATAAAAGATCATAAATATCTTTAGGCGTTGATTTTTCTTCTTCATACTTTCTTTCCTTTTACCTTTTTCTTTTCTTTCCTTTTACCTTTTTTTTTTTAATATTTCAAATTTTTATAAAGCGTAAAATAAATTTGGGGCTTAAGAATTTTGGTACAAAGGATCAATATAGTATACACAAGATAGATATTTTAAAAAAAATATGATTAACTAGACGTTTGGCGTACGCAAAATGACTAAAAAATATGTTACAAATAACATTCGTGAAACAAAATAGCATGATAGTAAAATAGCACAAATTTTCAAATGTAAAAGAATAAGCAGAAAAAAGAGCCGTATTCATAAGAGAAAAGAAGAAATGATTCTTATTTGGAGAAGGAAGAGAAGCGCAGGAGCAAGTTATTCAGAAGAAGTTCAAGAGATGATAAATAACTTACCCCTCTGTGTACAAGGACTGTACTTTGATCGTCGTTAGATCTGCCGGCGTTATGGTTACCGGACGTCCGACGGCGGTCCGGATCAATGGAGTGCCGTCGCAGCAAGGCACCTATAAGAAATAAACAAATACACTATAAATATTTATGTTCATAATAAACAAGATGAGATCTCATCGACACTTTTAATTACAGTCGCGAAATTGGTGTTTTCTTGGATAAATTTTTATTGATTTCGGATGAGCAATATGGAGATGAGTTTTTGGATTTGTTTGGATCGGCAACTTTATTCAACCTGATTTTTTCATTTAAGATCAAGCATTTTATTTTTTATTTTATCACCGTCGTTGAACAGCTAGCCAACTTAATTCAGGGTTTACGGCTACTAATGTTCATCTCCGTAGCCTTGTAATTTGGAACCCAATCCAGAAGACAAGGGAACTCCTGGATCAAGTACTTAGGAGAAATTTGCCTTCGTGGAGGACTTTTCGATGGAACTAACCAGCATGAAGAGGAAGACTACGAGAGCCTCCCGCGGTTAGCCTGACGGCAAGGGGACTCTAACCCATGAACCGTCTACCACTGAGGATATTTTACTTCAGCACTGCCGTCGGTGCGAGACGGGTGCGGTATTCGAATAGACCAGCTATCGCTGGGTTCGAACCCGAGTCAACTTATTAGAAGGCGAGCGCTCTATCCTTTGAACCACCACAGCTCAAGATCAAGTATTTTATTTTATTTTATAACCGTCGTTGAACAGCCGACCCAATTTCATGGGTTTACGACTACTAACGTTCAACTCCGTAGCCTTGTAATTTTGAACCAATCCAGAAGACAAGGAAACTCCTGGATCAGTACCCCCAGAGGTATTGATTTGTTGTGGGAACAT